CTTAACAGGAGAAGATGGGAAGTATCCTGTGACTGGTCTGCCTCTCCAAGTCTTGCTAATCAGCCAGTAGCTCGTCCACCAACAATAGTGATATTCATTCATACAACTTGTTACTGAAAGAAACTATTATAATATTACATGCTCATTTCCAAGCAATTTATGAATGGCAGAAGAAGGTGAGGAACCAGAACAGACCTTTGTGGGGCTCTGCTCACGAAGGAAGTCCAGAAAGAGCTTTTCCATTTATCATCCCCTCCACTTCCTATTGCTAAACCAGCTTTTAATCCAATGACCTAATTTGCCATTAATTCCATTGAGCCTTTCTGAAACAACACATGCATGAGACCACGCAGCTTTATATATTGCTCAGGTCTTGATAGGAATAGCAGCACATATAATATTTGTAAACCAGATTTTTGTTTAAAATAACTTAATTAGCTTGCAATTTTCAGGTACACGTCTACATTTTTACATAACGAACATTAATAAATTAACATCTTCAATATATTGCATGGTGTTGCCAAGTACTGACCCACAAACCAACAACAACAACAAATTGCATTTATATAGCGCCCGTCACATGTTGTAGCGTCCTGGAACACTTGCCAATAACATCATCAATTGTACTGAAGCAATAAAAGTTCTCACCTTCTGTACGCTGGAGAGAGCCTTTACCAGGCTTGTAAATTTGCAATGGCTCGTAAATAATTATAAATTATAAGTTAAAGTTAAAATATTTATAAATTATACATAAACTATTTTTATTTATAGAGCAGTTGATTCTAATCAAGCTTATTAACACTTATCTTATGACTTAGTTGGTAATAACCAGCACCCAATATGTAATGGGGGTATGCTGACTGACAAGGTCCCAGTTTGGATCTCTGAGCAGTTATAAGTTAACTGAGCTACAATTGGCCTGTACGCCTCTGTGTCTCGGGTTGGGCAGGAAGACAAAATACTCCTGATCCTTATGCAGCAACCTCTGCTGGAAAGAATGTTGCATGTGGAAGTCAGATGAGAATAGGCTCAGGCTCAGCTGTATCCTATCCCAGTCAAATAGTTTACTAACTCACCACATCTAACAGACACATGAATAATGGCCACTTGGGCAAGGCAACTCTCAGTGTGCAACTAGGTAGCCCAACAGAGCTACCTAATAACCTAATAATAACCATTATTCCTGGTTTCAAATGTTGACACTTACGACATAACAGCACTGTAAGACCATGACTAAAAATAACTAATGATCGTAGATCGCTTATGCATCAATTTGAGTCATTGTAAAACTTTAATAAATGTCAACTACTAGATACATTAGTATTAAAATATTGGATACAAATAGTGCTATAATGCATATTTGCATTATAGTTCCTTGCAAACCAGTTTCCCTAAATGTCATGAATCTTTAGCCTACTTAAAATCAGAATCTGAAACTGCATTTTAACACATTAAAATATGAGATTAACAGACTAATGAGCTTGGGTAATCATGACAATTGTATGAAGTTAACTGAAAAAGTGAGTAAGATAACTAATAATGTATTCATATCAGAACAAAGAAACATTGTACTTCTTGAGCAACAGTAAGATTAATGGCATTGCAAAGTACATTGATTTTTCAGTGTATAGAAATGTGACATGTAATTACTGCATCGTCAAAAGAATTATATTGAAATAATATGAGGCATGAAATACTTATTTTCTCAGGAAAGCTGCAGTCTACATTATTAGTTATTTAAATCATTGCAGTGATTCATCTCCTCAACAATTACAATGCAACAAAGCTCTTACTTTGAATTACAACACAATGATCCCATATACTGTGCACTCGTCACCAAGTTTCCCAGCAACCAAGTACCAACAGTTTCTTGAGAACCTAGCAGCAATCACATTACCAATTGATCCTGCTGCTCACCACCTTGTGTATCAAACACCTTGAGTGCACTACCAGTCACTCCCGATAGTGTACGTATCAAACAAAAAAAATCCGGGGACCAAAATTCCATCTGGTCTTAACTTCTAAGAGTATTTTGTTTTTACATACAAGATTGTGCAGAATTGTGGAAATGTATTAAAATTTAATTTAGCTTCCAAATTAAGACTGAATTGAATTTTCCACAATTTTGAACAATCTTACATTTTATGGCAAAAATGGCTTTACAGAATAAAACTGGATGGGGTTTTGGGCCTCTGATTCCAAAACCAAACAAAGCTGCATGATCAAATATATCCCATTTAGAGTCATAGGAACATAGGAATTAGGAGCAGGAGGAGGCCATTCGGCCCCTCGAGCCTGCCCCGCCATTCAATAAGATCATGGCTGATCTTCTAACGTAACTCCATCTGCCCATCTTATCCCCATATGCCTTAATCCCTCTATCCTTTAGAAACCTATCAATCTTAGTCTTGAATATGTTCACAGACTGAGCATCTATAGCCTTCTGGGGTAGAGAATTCCATAAATTCACTACTCTTGAGTGAAGAAGTCATAGTACTTCACAGTGCCAAAGAAGGCTGCATGGCTCATCGTGTTAATCAGGTAGACTCTTTGAAAGAGGAATGAATTCATTTCCATTTACCCTCCTTTTCCCCATACCCCTTCAAATTACTCCTTTTTAGATATCTATCTAATACCCTCATGAAAGATAGTATAGATCCTACCTTAAACAATGCTCCACATTTTAATAACTTTCTGTGTAAAAAAAAATCCTCATAATCTCCCCTTTTGCTTCTTTGGTAATCATCTTAAATTGATGCCCTCTAGTCACTGACTCAAATAATTTCTCCCTATCGACTCTTATGAAAACCACTCATAATCTTAAAGAACTCTATCAGGTCTCCAGTTTTCAGTAACATAAAAGTCTCCAGTCTCATACTTGTACTGATAAAAGGTTGATAACAGGGTCAGTGATTCAACCCTGGTATCATCCTAGTAAATCTCCTCTGTGCCCTCTCTATGGGCCTGACATGGTTACCAAAGTGGAATGAATATTTAAACTTTTTTTTAAATATTATGGAATGACTTAAAGGCAATCATCTATCTGGTTAGTCTCAGTGTTCTGTTATAAAGTGTTCGCCTTCAGTCACACGATTTATGGTTTTTATTTGGAACTCTGGATCAAACGTTGAGTAGAAGTCAAATCTGTAGGTAGCTCTAGCTAGGTATAGGAGAGGGAAAGAGGAAAGGTAGGGGCTCATATGGAGTATAAACACAGGCACAGATTAGTTGGCCAAATGGCCTGTTTCTGTGCCGAACCATTCTCTGTAATTCAAGCTCAGTTCAGAAGTCTTGAATTCAGTGCCTCTTTGCTAATATTTGATCTGAACCATTTCAATTTTCCTCCCCCACCCCACAAGCTCAAGCTCCCAGGCAGCTGTTTGAAGCATTTGGAGATGCTATGTAAATTGTTGTTGTTGGATATAATGCTGCCTTTTAATTATTCACAGCTATTCATTGTTATACAATAATGCTTGCATTTGATATAGCGCCTTATCATACCGTCAAGACACTCCACAGGATATAATGCAAAGTGGATTGACTGTGTATTTTGTGGACGAAACACAGCAGATAGATTCACATAGCAATGTGCCACAAACAACCATAGAGTCAGTGACCAATTTTATTTGGCGGATTGTTGGCCATGCACAGGAGAAACACCCTTTTTTTTGAATAGTGCCACAGGATCTTTTAATATAATAATAATAATATAATAATAATATCCACCTGAACATGCAGCCGGGACTTCAGTTTAACATCTCATCTGAAGGATGGCATCTCCAACAACGCAACACACTCCCAGCCTGCATTGGAGTGTTATCTTAGTCTGTGTAAATTCCAAGTCCTGATTTTGGACTTGAAAACAACCTTCTGACTCAGAGGCAAGAGTGCTACCAACTGAGCCGGACTGATGGAATTGTTCTCCATGCAATACATAAAGACACAATGTTTGAGAGATTTATAACTAGATTTATAATTTATAACTGTTCAAAGAGATATTATCACAACATAAAATGGATGAGGCTAATGGTAACAGTACTTGTAAATAATTAAAACAAGAAACCAAAACAATGCAACCCAGTAGTTGTTGGTTTTACGCAGTTCTTTTTATAGCCAAGTACAAACATCTGGTATGTTCTGGTATCTGATTTTACTCCCAGTGTGGGTACAAAACCTATTATCCTTACACTGCAGAATAAACAGGAACTGCATATGGTTGACACAACTAATGCTGTGACAAGCACTATGAAGGGTCGAACAGTCGGCTGCCAGTATGTGAATAGAAACCCAACACTGAAAACTGTTCAATGACCCTTCAGTTTCTCAGATAAAGGAATATAGTAAAATAACTGACTGTCAAGCACAAATTTGTTTAGATAAAATATGTTGTTAGAAATTCAACTTTAGTCAGGTTTGCTGAGTCAAATCTCATTTCAGAAGTCTCGAACTCAGTTCCTCTTTACTAACATTGCTGTGTTGTCAGAGGTGCCATCCTTCAAGTGAGACGTTATACCGAAGTTCCATCTGCCTATCCAGGTGGATGTTAAAGATCCTATGGCAATATCAGAAAAGAGAAGGGAGTTTCTCCTGGTGTCCTGGCCAACACGCCCCAAATAAAATTGGTCTCTCACTCCTTGGCTGTTTGTGGGCATTGCTATGTGCAAATTGCTGCTGTGTTCGCCCACAGAATACACAGCTACACCATTTACAGTATATCCTGCAAAGCACTTAGAGACATCTCATCAACATGGTAAGGTGCTATATCAAATGCAATGATTATTTTATTTGAATTGAAAAATGGGTCAAAAGTCACATATAGAAGATGGTAAAGATAGGACTGGTAAAGGAGAAATGGTCATGGTTTTTAAATGTCCCTGGGTTTTTATTTTCTCTCCACATTTCTTTGGGGCCTAATACTACATACAATTCACCCAGTGAGAAAATAAACAGTCCAGGAAACCTGCCCTTGGGCCTTTCCAATGTGCCTTGTGACCAGGGAACTAGATGGCAGGGCTTTGACTCATCATCTGATTTCTTCATTCTACTGAGGAAGTGGTTCACTTCCACTCAGCGATTTCTCTCTCCCAGCTGCGTTCAGAAATTCATCATGTTGCTTAAGAGTACGTCACTGGTGTTTCATTTTTCTTGTTCTTTATTTGAAATGATGAGACATGATCTAATACAGTCCATTAGAAAACATTAGTTATCCTTCCATTGCATCTAATCAAATCTGCTTAACATTATAAATTTACCCATTGCATAACCTGAATTCACATTCTTCCTAGATGTACAAAATGTATGTTGGCAATTCATAGAATAGTAACTCAAGCACAGAAGGAGGACACTTGGCTCATTGAGCTACAGTTACTCTATTCCTAATTTTCTGCACTTTCCCCAGTACCTTTTTAAACTCTTCAAATTTGAATGACATGAATAAAGATGTACAATCTGTGGAAAGCACTGGAGGCACATGGACACTATTCTACCATTATAAACATTTCTAAGTTTCCCATTCCAGAATTTTGTTAAGAATCGGCGAGACATTTCACTACAAAACTACAAGAACCTGTCAATGCAATCTAAATAAACACTTTGTATATAGCACATTGGAATAGTCAAGTTACAGAAGTTCAAATGATGACACTGAATATGTCTTACGAGCACTTTGACTACAAGGATTTCCAAACAATATGGTGAAATGGATATGGTGTAATATCTACACTTTATCATGTGCATTGAATATACTATGGTACTTAAACAGGAAAACACTCCCATTACTATTTATTATACTCTGCGCTGACTAAGCAGATACTTAAAAGCCATTACATCAAGCTCTTCATCTTGTTTGTGAGCTGCACACTGACATTTATTGTCATGACATCATCCTGCCTGCACAATAGTTAATTGCAGTCAAATAGGTGATTCCTGTGCCAACGGATTGAGTTGTTGAGGTCTTATAAATGGTTATGGATTTAAGACTATAAAGACGGTGGCCCTCACCTCTCGGCATGAAAAGTGGGCTGTGGTTTTGTTGAACATCGTTTCTGAATATCCAGAAATTTCTTTCATAGCCTGAAATTTATCATGTTTTTAGCCTTAAAATTGAAGATCTGTCAGAATTGTGGAAAATTCTTAAAGTTAGTCTTATTTTGGAAAAGGGGTTTTCGTAGTTCTTAACATACCTCTCCCACATCCCTTCTAGCACTCCTATGGATGTACAAGTACAGTCTAATGTTTAAGGCTGACAATTTCCTGGTCTTTATGGCTCAGTGTATTTAACAACAACAACTTGTAGGGTAGCATCCTGGAGCGCTTCTGGAACACGGAGAAAGTAAAAGTAGTTTCAAGTTGGATCAGAGCACTGGAGGTTTTCTAATTTCATTTTCAATTATAGCAACATAAACTGCACTGTATGTACATGGCAGATGTAATAAATAAAAATATTAATCCTCGCATTTGATATTGCGCCTTAACACATCGTTGAGACATCTCAAAGTGCTTCTAAGAATATATTGTAAAGTGGATTGACTATATTTTGTGGGTGAAACATGCAATGTAATGACAACTACGTGCACAATTTCTTTGTTTTGGTTTGGAAGATTTGAGAATTGGATCCTTGGAGAACTGAACTGAATCACTTCTAAAGTTCTCTTACAGATAATGCGATGAAATGCTGTATAATAAAACAAATGAGATATGGTTGTGAGGTTTTAGATTTTACTTTAATTGCATTATGAAGCAAAGAATTACTTGTGCCATGTGAGTTTTATGCTATATATGGGGAGGACAGGATAGCTTGTCTCTTGAGGCACCACATATCTACCTCATTTTAGCATGTAAAATTAATTTTTTCTCTTAAAATTGAAAGTTGTCGAAAATTGTGGAAAATTCAAAAATTAAGGCTTAATTTTTTAGCTGCTTTTCCCTAATCATTTGTAAAATTTTGGCTTCCAAATTAAGACACAATTTCAGAATTGTCTACAATTCTGCACAACTTAAAATTTTATGGCAAAGGTTTTTTGAGACGAGGTGGAATTTTGGGTCTCTGTTCACTCGCATTCAAAGAGCAAATTCCCCCAAGATAATGGAAATAACAGTTATATGTATACTCAGTCAAACAAACAGTAAAATACACAGACTGAAACAGAAATACACACTCAAACGAGTGCTGTAGCTCAGTGGATAGAGCACTGGCCTTGCAAGCAAGACCTGGGTTCGTTAGCTGGCCGGTCGAAACCTTGGGCAAGTTTCCTTACTCCACACACCTGGTAATAATCCCTCAAGAAAAAAAATAATAAATTGGTCACTTCAACTCATGACTGTTTGTGGGACACTGTTGTGCGCAATGGGCTACTGCGTTTTGCCCACAAATATACAGTCAATTCACTTTACAGTATATTGTGTGAGGCGCTTTGAGACGTCTAGAAGACATGAAAAGCCCTATATCAAATGCAAGGATTATTATATTACATACTTAAACAGTGACATAACAACAAACATAACCGTCTGAAAAATGCCATGTGACACAAAAGTTTTATCATTGACTGCTGACTCATTGAAACCAAAACAATTGAGGAAGTGACATCAGTGGTAATGAATAGCGATAAAACAAAGTGGATGAGGCAGTTCATTGTGCTAACGGTTGCCATGCAATTCAAGCCAAATGTAGAACAATGCTATACATGGTTACTTTGTGTTTAATGCATTCAAATATTGCCTCTTGGATTTCAGAAAGAATCTTGCGTGTGTAGTAATGCCCTGAATTTTGGGTACTGTGCACGATCTTAGTCTGGAAACCGATGGCTTGAAATGCAGCCAGTAGCTATGTTGCAGCAAATGCATATGGAATGTAGTTTCCTGGATGGATGTATTTACAATGTGCAATCAGCAGGATGGGTATGGATAAGTCCACCAAGCTCTACAGCTGGAAATCACTGACTTGTCAAATCGCCTACACATTGATACTAGCACTCTGAGACGCTGCCTTGCGTGAATGCAAGTTGTTGTAGTATAGAACCAATCATCTACTTAAGCCAAACAGCAACAGGTGTACTAGTTACTATGCCTAAGCCTTTTATGTCTGCCTCTTCCCCTTTTATAGTTGAATACTCAGTCTAGACTGTGAGCGCAAATTTCTGAAGTTTGTCCTGAGACTTGAACTCATAACCTTCTGACTCAGAAATGAGTACGGTACTACCAACTGAACCAGGTTGTTAATAAGGATAGTATGTTTTTTTGTCAGAATATCACAGTTCAGAGATTGCTGGTGTTCAGTCATTATACTCACCATCAAACTACAACTCACTGTTTTATGAACTGAATGGAGAAAGCATCAGAACGCAAAGAGTTATTTACCGTAAAATTGCAATGACACTGTTCACAATTACAGCAGTAATTGAGATGTTGACTGCCAGAAGCTACTTGAAACGAGCATTTGATGGAATGCAAAGCCTTCCTGTCTCTGTGGAGTTTCAACCAGTTTTGAAACATTTTTTCCTTTTTACAATTGACCTCCTGCAAGTCATCCTAACCTCATTGGGTGGAACTGGATACGCACAATCCTCAGGAGGAACTAAACTTGCATCCCTCCCCCACCATCCCCACACGCACACTATCCTCATGGCTCAAGAAAGTTTTGACTGATGCAGTGGCCTTTTTAAAAAAACATTGTTTCTCGGGATATCTTACAAACTTCCATTCTATGCAACACCCACATGACAAATATTCTTTTCGTGAAGAAATCTAGGATTATCTGATCTCTAATCTCAGGGCATTAGAGTGGGATGGGGGGGGAGGTCACCGTTGAGTTCACCTCAATGCGTTTGGATACTAAGAAGGAAAAACAATTGCTGTTTAGTGACCTCTGTTATAAAATCTGTACCTGTCCAGGACATATTCCATCCTGACCACATACCGTTTCCTCATTTGAATACCCAAGAATCATCACTTTGATAAGTAAGGGACAACCTGTACTCTTAAAGGATAATCTGTGCTCATAGAACCATAACATAGAATGAGTCAAAGTCTTCCGGCCAGCAGAAGGGAAAAGAGGGATAAGAAACGATGTGTGACCTTCTTGGCATCAAGTCTATCGTTGGTACTCTTCCACTGGAGCTAACTAATCTAGGGTGTCAGCTTGACTTCGTTTTTGAGTCAGAAGATCACAATTTAAGTACCACAATAGAACCTTCAGCTCATGGTCAAAGGTGAGATGTTAAATCGAGGTCCTGTCTGCCTATTCAGTGTGTGTGGGGGGGGAAGAGTTAAAGTCCTGGACCCGGTCAAAAATCCCCAGATGAAAAATTGGTCCCTCACTTAATTGCTGTTTGTTGGTCATTGTTGTCTGCCACATTTACCTACAAAAAACAAAGTAACTACTACACTTTAGAGAAAAACATATGCTACACCAAATGTAAGAATTGTTATCACCCCAAATCCCTGCTCTTTTCCCATACCTTATCAGAGTGTTCTTCTTCAAATATCTGTGCTTGTAAGTTCCCTTATAATTGCTGTTTAGCTCCTAGTTTCAATAGACATTTGTGACAGAATATTAGATGTTCTGATAATCTCTGACATACATGGGTATATTACTGACCAATATATATCACAAATGTTGTACATTTAAACTGTTTGTCAGCGTCCAATATATCAGCCAGTTTGAAATTAACCTGTCCTGGATTACAAAGAGTTTTCTAAACCCTCCTTACAATAGTCATTTGATGCAATCATTCATGCTAAAGCCAATTGTAACACTGGCGCTGAGGCGATGTGTTTTCTCTTTCAGTTTCTGTCCCAGTTTACTGCTCAGATTTTAACCTATAGACTTCAGCTTTCATCAGTAATTTTGTTCTTGTTAGCTTTTCTAAAAAGAAACTTCTGAATCTGTCTAGATAATTAATGTAGGTGTATCTCCTACATGAACAGTACTCTGTTGACTACTCTGCACTGAAATATAGGAATAAATTACTGGGCTTTTGGAACACATTATTCTGCACTATGAAATGCACCAGATTTCTTACCATCTGATAATTCTCACCAGGCTGCTGTCAGAGGTGACACCCTTTGGATCAGTTGTTAACCAAGGCCCTGTCCGCTTGTTTAGGAAGGTGACACTATTCGAGAAGAGAAGAGAATTACTTCCAGTAATCTGGCCAGCAATCTTCCAGATTATTATTCACTTCAAAGCTCTTTTGGGGGACATTATTTTGTGCAAATTGACTGCCACTTTTGCCTACAAACACAGTCACTACAATTTACAGCAATTACCTGTGAAGTAGCTTGAGACATTTTGACAATATAGGTGTTATATCAATTGCAAGGATTATGCTTATATTTAATATTTAGTCTTCAGTTGGAATCTTAGCAGGCTCTAAACGTAATTCCTTTGGACCAGTTCACTCGATAGGACTGACAGATTTTTTTCAAACTAAAACTTAACATGACACACATTGCGGTACCCATATTTTAATCAGTTCAATCTATCTTTGTGATTTATAAAGCAAGATGTTTGTGGTCACACATTGGAAGACTGTATTTGGAAGCTCGCCAAAAAGCACACCAAAAAGTTAAAGAAAGTTTTTGTTTTTCATTTTCTCTCCTCCCCTCCTTATATTGTTCTGTGTGCTTCATTGCAATGTTGTGCTATAAACTACGTGCAGCATGGGTGACTTGGAAGAAGGCACAAAAGCACTAGCTGGGAATTGGAATAACCCTGTCATTAACCCATTATCCAAACCTAGCACCAATACGTTCAGACTTGGTCAAATGTCTAACACCAAGTCCATTCTAAACATCCTTTTCTAAACAATTATTTTTAAAAAAAAATTAAAATAAAATCAAACTTGAGATTTGTTAAAGCTCAAATCAGGATGAGACCTCAAAAGTCTTCACTACAAAAACAATTACTTGGGTTTATTTATATAGCGCCCTTCACATGGGGTAGTGTCTCGGAGTGCTGAACTTGTTTTGTTCAAGAGACAGAATTGCACTTTTAGATTGCAATGAGACCCGGAATAGGCTGACCGCACTGCAATGCCCTAAAATAATTGAACATTCTGGTTTAGGGTAGCATTCATCTCCATGTAAAACCTCAGGCTGATATCTGTGTAACACAGCAAGCAGAGGGGTAAAAAAACACTGGACATCTCCATGACTCTTGGAAGATGGGTAAACCCAAAACAAAAAAGCACTGATGGAATATTGCCCCAGCAAGCCATTCTTCCTGAGAAAAGTGGTACAATGCGCACGCTACAAGAGAATTAGACAAAAAGCAAGCTCCTGCTGAAACAATTAAAGCATAAACTTTATGAGGACAAAATACCTTAGAACCAGAAGATAATTAACGTAACTTTGTTATTTGTAGGAATGTTAACTACCCCATGTGAGATGGGTATGAATATCCGAGACTGTACAGTAACTCACATGTGTTTGGACAAACTACATCTTATTTGTGTAATGCAAACCACAATGCAAACATCCAGCAATACGTCCAATACATTATTATTTGTTGTACTTCATCTTGAATCATAATCATAGAATTGTACATGAGCAACAACTTGCATTCATATAGCGTCATTCGTGTAGGATAATGGCTTGGACATTTCACAAATGTCGGGTATATAAATAGAGTGTATTTAAAGAGAGATAGGGAGGGGGTGAGTGAGCAGTGAGATGGAGGGGTGAGACGGAACGAGTTCCAGAGGTTAGGGGCATAGAAGCTGAAAGCACTCAGAGACTGTACCCCTCATGAAGGATGCTAGATAAATACAAATTATTATTGTTGGTGTTAAAAGATCAGGCAACAATAATGGTGTTCATGGGCCAAGCACAGAGCATAGAGGGTGAGCAGGGGAATGGGTAGAAGATTAGTAAGAAAGGGACCCATCATTTGACCCATCATGTCTTTGCCAGTGTTCTGAAAGAATGATACATTTAGTCACGCTCTCCTACCCTTTCCCCTCCTTTAATATTTTTATTTTACAAAAAAAGTGTACAATTCTCTTTCAAAAGCGTTCATGGATTGTGCTTCCAACCACTGATTTTCATAGGCCTTTCCAACCCTGAATAACCCTGTGTAGGTAAAAAAAAACAGTTCCCTTCATTTTCGGCAATGATCTTAAATTTATGCCCTCTGGTTATCGATTCACTAGTTTTAGATTGCACAGGGAGTGATGTATTGCACAGGTGCAGCGACAGCACTAAGGTATGTAAGCATACTAATCTGACCTGGTTAAATCTTAGGTGTGCCGTTTGGAGTAAACTTCAAGTGGGCTGTTGACGTTTTTCATTGTGAGAACAACTAGAAGAGTGGTACATCACTTTTCATAAGGTTATTGCATTGTGATGCTTCTACTGCGCTCATCTCTTTTGACACAAATTTGGTTGATTTACAACAGGTGGTGACAGATATTGGAGAGAAAAATTACGATCTGCCAAAACAGTTTCAATGACGATGACAATAATAACTTGCATTTATATACAACAACAACTTGGTACCCTCCACACCAGACAGCGCCTCAGAGTGCTTCACAGTAACGCATCCTGGGGCCGAGCCAGTGGGGGGGGGGGGGGGGGTAAAAAGGTGACCAAAAGCGCAGTCGAAAAGAAAGGTCTTCTGCCGAGATCTGAAAATAGGAAGAGAGGGCGTGAGGTGAAGGGAGAGAGGAAGGCAGTTCCAGAGCCTCGGGGCATAGTGGCTGAAGGCATGGCCGCCGATGGTGGAACAGAGGATTCGGGAGACAAGGAGGAGGCCAGACCCAGAGGAACGAAGGCAACGGGTACTGTTTTGAGGAGAGAGGAGGTCAGAGAGGTAGGGGGGTGCAGAGGAGTGGAGGGATTTGAAGACAAGAGTGAGGATCTTGAAGTTGATCCTCTCTGGGATAGGCAGCCAATGCATCCTGGCAAGGATTGGGGTAATCATGGACCGGAGTTTGGTGTGGATGAGAATGCAGGTGGTAGAGTTCTGGATGACCTGGATTTTATGAATGGTAATGGAGGGGAGACCGGCGAGGAGGGTATTTGAATAGTCCAGCCGAGAGGTGACAAAGGTATTGACCAGAATTTCTGCGGCTTTTGGGGTGAGGTATTGGCGGAGACAGACGATGAGTCGGAGGTGGAAGAAAGCGGTGCTGGTGAGGGACTGGATGTGGGGGAGGAAGGATAATTGGGGGTCGAACCTGACGCCTAGGTTGCGTACGGGTTCAGAGAGTTTTAGGGGAAGGTCGGGTAGGTGGAGGAGGTGAGAACTATGCGATGTAAGACGTTGATGAGAGCCATAGAGTATGGCTTTCATCTTATGAACATTTAGCCGAAGGAAATTCACACTCATCCAGCTCCCGATGTCTGACAGGCAGGCTGACAGAACATCAGGGGACTGGGGGTTGCAATGTGAGGTGGAAAAATAGAGTTGGGTGTCGAGGCGCCCTTATAGTGCCCTTCACACTGGACGGTGTCTCTGGGGAGGGAATGCTCCCTTAGCATTCATCTTAGATGAACTCATGCTCACTCTTTCCTCTAGTGACGCACAGAATTGTGTAAAAAGAGTTACAATATCTCAGTGGATCTTGCTCCAGTGCTACTGCAACAGGAAGTCACAAAGCTAGTTTGCTTCTGCATAAGTATGTGGTGACAATATTAAGCCAGGCAGTCTTTCAAAGTGGTGCAATCTACAGGCGCAGACTGAAGCGAACGGCTTCCTTTGGTAGTGGGGAGAAGTGTCATTGCAATCAATGGGTGATCCAAATGGATTAATTCTATTGAAGAACCCTTTGAAGATAAACAACAAAACCTTGCATTTATATAGTACCCTTCAAGCAGGGCATCACCTCGGAGCGCATCAATCTGTCAGCAGTGATCCCCCCCCCCACTCTCTCCCAACCAGAATGTCAAACAGGTGTGAGAAAGATGTGAGACATCATATTATCAGTGGCTGAAACTTTCAAGAAGAGACAAGCAACCTGTGAGGAAGACATTAGACAAGACCTCCCATGTCTGTCAGAGGGTTCTGAGGTTGGATACAGTCTGACAGAACCTGCTCTCCTCCGCCTGGGCAGAGGGCACAGTTGTCAACCTCACCACCTTCCAGCAACTGCTTCCCAGCCTGAGGGACTGACGAGAGTCTGCTCTTCTTGGTTGTGCAATCCATCATTCAGTCACTAGTCACCCATTTGTTCCTGTGTTGTCAAGTATGATGTAGAATCCTGGTGACAGCATGCCTCTTTGAATGCAGTGTGATGCAGCCAGAGTAGTTGTCTAGTATTCCTACACACCAGAGAAGTCACTTCATTGGGCACTGCGAGTTGACGGTTTCTGGGGAGCTGAGCTGATTTATTTTGATTCTTTGTTAACAAGTAGCTCAAGCAAAGATTCACTGAATTGATCGTGCATTCTGCAAGATAAGCCTAGTGAATCCTCGTCGACTACCTGAAATGTTAATGAGGTTGCACCCCTGAAAGTGCAATAAAAATAATAATAATTCTTGCATTTGATAGAGCGCCTTATCATGCCATTGAGGCGGCTCAAAGTGTATTGAATGTACAGAATGTATTGTAAAGTGGCAGAAACTGTTTATTTTGTGGGAGAAACACGGAGCCAATTGCCCACAGAAATGTCCCACAAACAGACATGGATTGAGCGACCAAATTATTATTATTATTATTTTTTTGAAAAGATCCAAAGTCACAGTGCACTTTAGCGATGCTATCTGGGTACTGCTCGTAAAAGCACCAAACTGCCCGTGCAGAGAATATTGCTGAAGGCTCATGTGTTAAGATACGCACAGAACAAGTGAGGTTAGCAGCGCAGTGCCCAAGTGACATCATTGGAATGTCAGTCAGGTATCTGGGCGGCAGGTAATCTCAGCCAAACAGCCTCATGCTTCCCTGAGTTGACAGCAGTAGCTGACTGAAGGGGAGGAGCATTCACATCTGTCAAACAATTAAGCTAACAGAGTGCGATGCAGGAAGGTAGGTTAATTTCGCTTGAGCCTGAAATTGTCAGGTAGTTTAATGGTTCAATGTCCATACTGCACAACCACAGTGTAAGTAAGATCATTCCAGTTTTAATTACTCTGAATTTCATTTTTGGTAATAACTAAATGAACGTGAATGTTTACTTGTCAAAACTCAAGAGTTCTTTTGTGTTGCCTGATTGATTTGCTTATCTATAATAATAATAATCCTTGCATTTGATATAGTGCTTTGCACGTCTTCTAGATGTCCCAAAGCGCTTCACAGAATATACTGTAAAGTGAATTGACTGTATATTTGTGGGCGAACGCAGCAGCCAATTGCACACAGCAATGTCCCACAAACAGTCGTAGATTGAAAATGACCAATTTTTTTTTTTTTTTTTGGAGGGATTATTATTAGACGTGTGGAGTAAGGAAACTTGCCCAAGGTTTCGCCCTGACCTGCCTGGAATTGAACTCAGGTCTCTCGCTTGCAAAGCGAGTGCTCTAACCACTGAGCTACAGGATTCCGAGCTCCTGAGCTCCAATAAAGGTTGTTGCAGAGGGAGCTCTTCTCCCCAGCTACTGTGTGAGTGTGGAGATTAAACAAAGTTCCTGTATTTGTGATGGTCTGTCCCATGATTTTACGAAAAGATCAGTATTCAGTAAGTAAATGTCAAATACTTCTAACCTGCAACGTTTTATTGTTACACAAGCTATCGTCATACAAGTCAATCAGACATCACAAGAGTGATTGATTTAAACGTAAAGTGCTCCCTGTTTGACCAGACAGCGTTGCAGCTCTTGATATATATAATAGAAGTGTACTTTGTTCTCGGGGCTTGGTGGTGTAACACCTTTCAAGTGCTCTGGGACGCTACCCTGAGTGAGCAGCGCTATGGAAATGCAAATAGTTGTAACAAGCTGCGTACCCAATACGCCTTAGATTTGGGCCCTCAATAACCTGCATGGTGAGTTCCTGATCTTGGCCATGGAGTGACAGGCTGGGCAGGAGTTGTCTGTCAGGGAGGGAACATCAGTCAGTAGGTGATTACAGACTCACATAAGAGAATTGGAGGTGGGTGACCTCCTGGAACTCTACATCAGATGATGTTTCATGACAGAGTGGATGTAAGTATGAGTGTGTGTGGGGGGGGGGGGGGGGGGGCGAGGGGGAGATAAATAACAGAACAAAAAATGAATGTACAGGTCTTTACAAGTGAAACGAGAAAAGTAATTAACAACTTTGTAAATATGTATTCTATTTATAAATATATATTGACAAAAAACTGAAAAGATATGAGCAAAGTTATCCATTAACGGCTTCTTATTTGCTTGTAATGTTGGATCGTGATGACTGAAAGAATACAGTAAGTCAAGTGTATGTATGTGTATACAATATACGTGTGTGTATGTATGTGTATACACTGCGTGTGTATGTGCGTGCGTGCATGAACCTATGTAATGATGTGCGTGTATGTGTGTGCCTGTATTCATGTGTATGTATACTGTATGTGAGTATATATGTATGCGTGAATGTGAATATAATGTTTATTTATTTGTGTGTGTGTGCATTTAGGTGTGAATGCATGCATAGGGGGGAAAATGTACAGAATGCAATGTGATCACATATCACTTGTAATACTTCCATGCTATCAGACAGAGCCATTGGGTATGAAAGCAATTTGTAGCTGTGGCAGAGGCAGGCAGGATTTTCTACCACACTGAATCCAGCACAGTATTCCAGGACTGCAGGGGTTTAGGTTCAAAGTCTGATATCATTATGGTTTAAACTCAGTGACATTGGGTATGAAAGCAATTTGTAGCTGTGGCAGAGGCAGGCAGGATTTTCTACCACACTGAATCCAGCACAGTATTCCAGGACTGCAGGGGTTTAGGTTCAAAGTCTGATATCATTATGGTTGAAATAGTGATTCAATGCTAAGACGTTTGTAGCATGAACGAGGCTTGAGAAAGCCTCATAATACGTTTCTACGCTATTAAGGTGAAAGGCAAGGTATCTTTATGGATGTACTACATGCATTGGCGTGAGTCCAACATTGAAAGCAGTCACTTATTAAGTTCTCCTGGAGACTGACAAAATTTTCCTAAGTTATTTATATGCAAAGCATCTGGCCACTGAACGGTCCTAAAACCCCCAGTCCCTTTCTGAAGCTTGGAGATTAGAACCCATTTAATAAAATAGGGAAAAAATATTAATCTGGACACGAGGAACATTTCAGACATGATGCTCCATTTTTACTTCCACTGACAGTCACAACCAAAGCACAATAATCTGTTTGAGTTTATAAATCAATTTAGCCTAAGTATTTTGCTTGTAAAATTCTCTCAAATGTTATTGCTTTTACTTACTTTGCTGGGAGATGTGGGCCCTGAGGAGGCTATAAATGGGAAATAAAGTGCAGAAATAAATTATTTGCAAAGTAAAAGTCCCCTTACCAGCTCTGAGCTGCTGTTGGAAGCTGCATCAATGGCCCAGTGGATAGCGGCTGCAACACTAGGCTATACAGATGGTAAGGTCAGAGGGTTCAGCCTCAGTTGGGACCACAGTATCGAAGAGGCCTTTGCTGGTTTGTGAGCCTGTTTGGATGTCAAATCATAGGATCACGTTTCAGTTTGTCTATGACGCCACTCACATTCAAATAGCCTCTCGACATTCATGGTCAAGGCTCACACACAACTACACAGTGCAGCCCCATTATAATACACATCATTACAGCGTGACCTCACTCATAATGTGGTTCGACTGTGGACCTCAATACTGTACATTTGCACACCTGGCCCGCCGACAAGACTTTAGATACCAAAATGGCTGACTTCTAGGTCATCAGATCGCCAAGAGGTTACTTCCTACTTTACGTATATGTGGCACACACACAGGAAGTGGTGTTGGAGGTGACCTAATGACCCGGGTGGCAGCTACTTTCTATTTTAGGGTGAAATTGGCAGCCACACAGTAAACTGGAAGGCACACAGGGAGTGAGTCAGCCGGCTGGACGTTTGTGAGGTGTGATAGCAGGTGTCACTGTAGATGAGGCAGCCAGTCAGCTCATTCACTCTCTGCACGGCCTTTTCCCACGCTAAAGGAAAAGTTGGCTGACTTCTGGGTCTGCGAGTCACCGGCAATGTTTGCTGCACAGGAGCAGTATGATGTTAATATGAGGCTATTTGGCCCCTTTTCTCTTGTTGGTCTTTGTTTTCCAAGAAGTCATCCATCCTAATCCCAAATCCCTGCTCTTTCCCCATAGCCTCAAATATCCTTCCTCTGCATATGCTTGTCCAATTCTTTTCTAAATGCTCTAGCATCAGCAAACAAAATGGGGAACTCCAATATTGTTAACAGTGACTTGTTTTTAAGAAAAAGGCCCATTTTTATTTTTTCAAAGGCCACTATAGGTTGAGATAAGGGACTTTTAGCTGGGAAACAATTCAGTTCCTAGACTGTAGTTCCCCTTTATTATGGAGAGGTCAGCGGAGATTAAAGCTACCGAGAGCCATTCAACATTAGGTCTTCAAGTCGGTGACTAATTCTGCGCTTCCTAACAGTAGAAATTAAAGTTTGCCCTTAGTGATGTCTTGTTCGATTACTCAAATCAGTTCCTACTTAATCGTCTGGGACTCTCTTGTATGTAAATTTTAAAATGCCACTACCATACTAAAAAGGAAACTGCATGTGTAATTTGCCCTTGGGACTCCAAGACGTTGCAATGAGTCACGGCTACTTCAAATACGTCCATCAATATAAAAGATAACAAACTGGTGGAATACTTCATTTTCAATGATAATGAGTATTTTCTCAGACGCCGACAGCATCACCATCCATGGTTACACACTCCATCTTGCTAAACCAGTCCAGAACCTTAGCATCTTGTTTGACCTTCAACTATCGTTCCTAGCCCAAATCTGTGCTATGATCCGCTCTGCTTTCCCCCACCTCCGCAACATCACCCAGCTCCGCCACTGTCACACTCCAGGCCGCCGAAACCGTCATACACGCTTTCATTACATCGAGGCTTGATGATGCAAACTCGTTGTTTGTCGGCCTCCCCAACTCCTCCATCCACAGGCTGCAGATCATCCAGAACTCTGCAGCCCGTGTCCTCTCCCGCACTAGGTTCCGTGACCCTATCACCCCCATCCTGGCCCAACTCCACTGGCTTCCCATCACACAGAAGCCATAGTTCAATATCCTGGTCCCCACCTTCAAAGCCCTCCCCGGTCTTGCTCCCCACTACCTCTGTGACCTCCTAACCCCCTACCATCCTGCTCGCTCCCTCTGCTCAGCGGGCTCCAGCCTGCTTCACGTCCCCCGCCTTGCTCGTCCCACTATTGGCGGGCAGGCCTTCTGCCACTTTGCTCCCACCCTCTGGAACTCCATCCCGCAGTCCCTCTGCCTCGTCCCCTTCCTTGCCTTCTTCAAGACCCATCTCAAGACCTTCCTCTTCGACCATGCTTTTGATCTCCCTGCTTCCCCCCCTGCCCTCCACCCTCCCTGACCCCGACCCCAAGCTCGGGTCTGAAACTCTGTCTGCCCAGCGCCTTGGGACATCCTCCCGACGTGAAAGGCATGATACAAATGTAATTTTGTTGTTGTTTCTACAGTAGACTTTGGAAACCCCAATATATTTTTAAATCAAGCTTTCTTCATACTTCTCCACAACTTTGCATAGCTACAATGGCAAGCTATGTGGTTTTAGATGGTTAGACTCCAGCAGTACCCCAACACACACTCTGGAGTCACAAAACCTTGGCTCTTACCAACCTGTGCATAATTCTTTCCAGAATTAGATAAGATAGATAAATCCCTCCAGGGAGAGAGTGTGCGTTCCAATCCAGTACACAGGAATTTCCATGTGTAGGCAGGATGAATGGAACTCCCAGTTTGCTTTGGATGCATTTAAATACGGTGGTGGGCTTCAGACACCCGACTGACCTTAAAAAAGCTTCTGTCCTCTCCTGCATCAGGCTCCATGAGCCTATCACCCTCATCCTTGCTCGGCTTCACTGGCTCCCCAGCACCCAATGAATCAAATTCAAGATCCTTGCCCTCATTTTTAAATCCCTTCATGGCCTCTTCCCAACCTACCTCCAACCTTACCTCTTCCCTGCTCCCTCGACTCAGTGAACACCAGCTGCTTCATGTTCCGTGCTCCACCATCAGTGAGCCAACTTTCAGTCATTCTGCCCCTGCTCTCTGTAACCTCAGCCCAGAGTCCCTTCCCCTAACCTCCTCCCTCCCCATATTAAAGCCCATCTTAAGATCTTTCATTTCAAAGCATCACCAGCATGTTCATGGATTTAAAGGAAACCTTGCAGCACAGGGGCCCTTTCCTCCATCCATTGTCACAGGTGCTGTGAACAAATTGGTTAGCAATCAACAATCTGAATCATATGACAAATTTAATAGCGATCTTAATTCGATTTGACTTCATGGAAACAGCAACAATAAAAACGAGTTGCAAAGCTGTGGCAGAATTCCTTGTTATTTCTTGCACCTCATTTACATCTTATTTCTATATTTACTACCCATGCTCTTGTTGGCAATGAAATGAATGTAAAGGATTTATAGCATAGCTGAAGTCTGATGGCGTCTCCAGCAGAAAATTGGCTCTTTTCGGACAACACATTGTATTGATGGGTTATATTGTGGAGTCGGGGTGGGGAGTGAATGTGTCTGTTAAGTGTCCAGATGTGATCTGGAGACTACCTATTTTAAACCTATTCTCCAGATAAATATTTGCCAACACAGAGAAGGAAAACAGATGTAACAGTGAGAGAACGAAGAAAAAGGACAAAGAAAAATGACTAGAAGGAACTGTATGTCTAAGCATTTTTTAAGAGCTATTTCCTTGCAAAATATTCAAGTTTATTTGAACTTTAGCCTGAAAATAAATAATAATAATTTGGTCATTTAATCCACGACTGTTTGTGGGACACTGCTGAGCGTAACTGGCTGCCGTGTTTTGCCCACAAAATATACAGTCAATTCACTTGATAGTATATTCTGTGAAGCGCTTTGAGATGTCTCGAAGACGTGATAAGGTGCTATACCAAATACAAAGATTATTATTATATCAAATGCAAGTATTATTAGATGATTATTATTATAGTTGTAGATTTGTACATTGTTTATTCAAATGCATTTTTAGGAAATATTGGTCAAACCATGCGTTCAAAAAATACATTGCAAACAACAAATACATTTTAACATCCTTTTTTTCCCTTTTTTTGAGGATTTCTGTTTAAACAATGAGTGCAGTGCTGCTGATATCATCTGGGGAATCAGCAAGGAGACAGTGAGCCAGACCTCGTGCAAGTGCTGATTTAACACACAGTTGAAATGGTGCGATCACTAAAGCACTCTGGGTTAATGACTGCATTGCTGCAGATGTTAATACAGTTGCCTCTGACTATTCAGCTCAGTTACTCCTCTAAAGCCAGCTTCCCAGGGGATTGAAAGGAGCAATCATAATTGAAAAGAAAAATATTCCAATTCATTATGGGTCTTTATAATGTAGTTGTTGGGTTTATAAAAAGGATCCATTTGGTGGGGTTAACTCCTCAACAGACATGGGGGTGGGGGGGAAAGTGTCGGTAATTCATGATGCGTTCACTGATATTTGTTTGTACTATCAATTCACTGACTACCACAGTAAAGCCCAGATGGCCCACTGTGATTGCCCAAGCAACCAGAAAACATGTTAATAGCAGTTTACTATCTCAGACACAGCGTCACCTGAATTCTATTGAATGTGACTTCATTAGAGTTCACCTTGTAATTGACACAGATGCACCCAAAGCAGGGGAAAGGGACTAGTTAGAGCAGATAGCTCCAGGAAGGGAAGTGAGAATCAGCACTAGACCTAATGAATTGAATAGTCTCTTTCTGTGATCAAAATTTTTTATGAACCTATAAGAGTATGGACAAGTAAGGTTTCTGATTCTTATCAGCTTCTCTCTGGCAATTTTTTTAAAAAATCACAAAAAGTTAAACCTGTTGCCTTAACACAGTGCTGCATTTATCTGCCAGCATTGTCTTCACAAACAAATGGTACTTTCTGTTTTTAACATGTCACTCATTCAGTGGAGTTTTGTTAAAGTCAACACAACCCCCCACCCTGTTGGTTCACATTCAAAGAGAATTGTTGTCCTTTCTGAACTTAATTCCACATAGAGATAAAAATCAAAGTGTAGAATGTCACTCCAGAGAACAGGGGTTGGAGAATGGCTCTGGGGAAATCCCTGACCTTGCAGGAACACTTGTTCTTGAAGCAGACATGCTTTTAAGCAGGATGTGAACCAATGCAGCAATGGTAACATGATGCCTGTAGAACTCTGGTAAGTTATATGTCTGTGGCTGGCTTCCTACCCGCATATACCCAACAGCACACGTATCCGTCCTTTCGATGAGATGTTAAACTGAGGTCCTGTCTGTGCCTGTTGAAGTGGATGGTAAAGATCCCATGACACTACTTGAAGAGAGAAGACAGTTTCTTCAAGTGTTGTAACCAACATTTCCCCCAGATAAAATCAGTCATTCACTTCATGGCTGTTTGTGGGATGTTGCTGTGTGCAAAATT